CTTACTCACGTACCACCGGCCATTGCGTGCCTTGTTAACCTGGACGAACTTAACCTCTCCAACAACCGAATATCCTACATGCCCTCGGAAATACTGGGAATGAACTTGAAGAAGCTCTTACTGAACGCCAATCCCTTGCTACAGCCACCAAGACCATTCGGAGGTGATCGCCTCATGTCGCCTGTGGTTAGGCACCAGCAAGGTGTGCGGACTCTTCTCGACATCGCGACTTCGGTCCTTCTATCTCCCCCATTATCTTCAGCCACCGAAGTTGGGATGAGGACGAAAACCAAATTGGAAGAAATATGGGAGCTGCCGTTACCACCTGGCGTTCTACACGCCGAACTTGTTCGAAAGATCAATGCGGCGTTGCCGCGAGCGTGTCGCTCAAGGACGATGGATTCGCCCTCTCGTACAGTACGCGCTTCATCACCTTCACCTCAGCCTAGCGGGAAGCAGCCAGCTATCAGCCAGGATGTCGAGGACGACGCGGGGATGAATCCGAGGTACAACGTCTGTCCATCCCCGAACCACCCGTCGGCCAGTATGTTTGTAGACCATGCCGAAGAGAGGTTCGAGTGGATTAGAGACGTGGTGGTGTTCGTAAGTGATCTGCCTGGTGGCGCAGTTCCGATCCAGTGGCGAGGTTGTTCCAGTGGATGTCTGGAATTCTTGGAACGCCAGGTGGATAACGATGCGCTTTCGGGATCGAATCCTGCCAAAGGGATGGTGATAGAACAGCATTGGGAGGATGAATTCGAGCTAGACTCATAAAATATTGTGTAACATAGCGAGTAGGAATGAGATGTATTGTAAAACACCTGTTGATTACAAAGAGTAAGGTTAGATGGATCACTTAAGCGGCGGCTTGGATTTCCGAGATCTCCTCGCGAGGCTTTGAAGGACCTGCTTGTGGAGATGAAGACGAAGGTGCGGTGAATTTGCCAACTGTGGAAAGTAGGGAGATGGTAGGAGGTGGCGGGGGTAGAACGGGGCGGTTTTTGGATTCGTCCTGCGGTTTGGATTTGGTGAGCATACTAGGGCGAGTTGACTAGAGAGCGGAAAGATCCATGCGCACCTCGATAGATTTCCGAAGGGCAAGGTAGCGATCGAACAGTGCGGTTGTCTCTGTGTGACCTCGTCTTGTGGCCAATTCCCTGACTGCACCGCCCGTGTTCTTTTTCTCTACGCCTGTGAGCCAGCCTTGGAAAACTCTGGGACGTGTGAGTTGGATGAGAGGGGGAGCGGTGGGATGAAGCTTACTCTTCGAACTGGTCTACGGTGTCCTTGGGGACCCAAGGTTTGTTGAGACGCAAGAGTTCAAGCATGTATGCAATGTGAGGGCGGAGTTTGTGGTAGCAAGTGTGGTAGTCGTCTGTCGCAGCGAGACCTAGTTCATAAGATGCTACTTTCTTCGGGTCGACTTGTACGTAGGGCTCTTTGTCGCTGTGGTCTGGGGCGGGTTCTGCCTGTGCCTGTGCAGATGTTTGAGCCTGTTGGATTGGTGCGGGAACAGTTTTTGGTTCGGTTTGGGTAGTAGCCATGATGAGCAGCAAGTGCGTCTGGTGGGGATAAGTAGTGGTGAAAAGCGATGGGGGAGGAGTAGCGGGTTTTCGCAGAGTGCTTTAAAGGATCGAACCGTCGGACAAAGGCACACCGTACACATTGTCCACAACAACCGTAAACAAGCGCCTCTGTCTCCAGAACCCTTTGGTACGACGTTTGTTAGCCATGCCGTCAGCATCGGTGGGTCTGCCGGGAGGAGGCATAAGTATTAATGGGTCTGTCTTCTTTGTGTGATTCATCCTCGCATTCTTCTTCTCGTTGCAATGGAGACAGTTCTGCGCGGGGTGTTGCTTACGTCTGGGGTGCATTTCACTATCTCCGCAAAGCGCCGTGTCGCCAACCAACGCCCACTCCTTTCTTCCTTAAACCAACTGCAACCCGCTCGTTTTTCTCTCCCTCTCATTCATTCATTTTTTTTTCTTTGGGCCCTAGTCGCCTCCCCATGGCCGCTCATCTGACCCTCCGTCCGGTTCTTCTCATCGCATCCGTTCTCTTTCTCGTGACACTCTTCATCTCATTCTCAACCCCTTCTCAACACTTGCAATACTACAAAACCCAAATCACTCACTCTTGGAACCCTCCGCCATTAGACGATGGCCCAGCCAGCCATTCTGACCCATCCCTCCGCAAATATTCCAGGGTGGCGCTGGCAAGCACATTTGGCGCATGGCATTATGACGTCCTCGTTCCCGTTGCTCATACCATGGAAAACATACTCGGCACACAGGACGCAGTCCGTCTCTACGTCGAGACCCCTTACAAACTTGGCGACTATGGATTTGACGAGGTTCGTCGGCATTCCTACGCCGCTGCTCACCTGCGAACTGCCTCACATCCAACCCTTTCCTCCAGGTCGTCAACCGCACCGACTTGTTTCATGGAAAACAATTTAGCTATCACACCCTTACAAAGGACATCAACAATCCAAATCTCTTCCCTGAAGCACGAGGAGAGATGATTGGCCTTGTTGTCCTTGGCACATGCGAATATGAGTGCGTTTTTTTCTCCGAGCTCCGAAGGCTTGATCGCATCTCAAATATTTTCCTTTGCAGCATGGACTTTTGGTCGCAACAGCTCCTCGAAGCTTGGGATGCCAGGCCCGCCGACAAGAAATTCACGATCGCTTGCATCGTTCACGAAGTTTCAGATGAGGTCCGTTCATACCAAGTCCCTCATCTGCTCCAACTGCATTGCCAACCTTTCCTCCTACAGCGCTCATTCAAGTTTCTCCATGAGTGGACCATCCGAGGAGCTATTCGATACCTGACATTGGCAGAGCAGTACGTTATTCAGAGCTTTACAACCACGCATCCATCGTTACTCATACATCTCCCTCCCCCGTCCAGCGTCTCGCACACGCTCCTGCAGTACCTCCAGGCAACGTCAGACACCCCAACCCCTTCCGAATACACATCTTTAGCCGAGTACGCAAGAGTCGACCTTCATTTGCCGATCCTCCCCCTCCCAGATCCGCCAAGGCCAGCACGAAAGGGTACCCGCAAGCTCACCAACGCTGTAGTTCAAGGTTTAATGGACCCCAAAAGGAGAGACTATCTCGGTGTTTTGTGGGATCTCGCAGGAGCCATGAAGAGTAATGTTGCATTTGTCCTTTACCCGTCGTCCAGCCTCCCTAATCCTTTTGGTGCCATCCAGCAAATCCTGGTCTATGGGGTTACCTTCCGCCCAATCCAGGAACCAATGAATTCCTGCCCGATCCTTCGGACGAACCTTTCCAACTTCATCTGGTTGGCGCACAGGGTTGGATTGACGACTTTCCCAGCGAACTACGACACGTAGTCAAATTCCACCGCGACCTCGACTATTATCAATACTACGAGCTCATGCAATCGATGGACGTTGTCCTTCCAGCATTCGCGAACTCTCATTGTGCGTTCTTCACCTCGAGTCCCAACATTAACCGCTAACTATCCGGCAAACCATCAGACTACGACGAGAAAGCCAGCTCGACGGTCGTCATGGCTATACAGTGCAACGTACGCCCGCCGACTGGTCTCGTACATAACGTCGAACTCACTACTTGCTTTTGTGATAGGTGCCGTTGCTCGTAACCCGTCGATTCCGATCCTCGTACGTTTACGCCGCCGACGACCGGGTCACGCTGGTCCGGCCTCAAGCTCTCCGTGAAATCCACGCCATCCAAATCCTCCGCGCTGGGACCTCGCTTTTCCCCCGTTCAGAGAATGATACCAGTTCACCAAGCAAGGCCAAACGTCAGCATGATCCCAGCATCACCGTTGATGAACTCATCCGCCAGTATGAACCCAAGATGCACGGTCGAGCTCGCCATGAATTCCAGGCAGATGTCCGCCAAATGCTGTTGAAAGGATGGGAACGGTCAAACGAAGAGTTTGCGGCTTTCAAGGAATCAATGTGGAACAAGAACGAGCAGGTTGGGCTCCGAATGCTGGAGGATCGCTAATGCTTCTCGCCTGGTGCGACGCAAGCTTCATACCCCCTTGTCTTTTTTTTGTCGTCCAAAATTATGGTACACGCCCTCCTACCCTCCCTACTCTGCACATGTGCGCATTTACATCATTTTCCATAGATATTCATTAGAGTACGGTAGTCCCTCTCCCTAGCTGTATTGAGAATAATTAGATATCCTTGGCACAATGATACCCTGCTGAAACTCCAACTGTCCTGACAGAGGCCGGGCTGCGTGCAGATGTCGCCAAGCAACTGCATGCAGAAACATTCTGAATTTCAAGTGGTACTAGTTGAATATGCCTTAATGGGCGGGAAAAGCTGCCTGTTACCTGAGGTTCCAACGGAAACAATATTGTGGGGTGGCATCAAATACCCCTGGAGAGATACCTCGCTTGGGCTGCTTGTTAAAAGACAAAACCGACAAGCAAAATAACGGGTACACTCTAGGTTATTGGTAGGAAATAGTCACACCTTCCGTTAGGCCCGGAAGCAAAAGGCAACTTTGAACGTGCCGGACTGACCTGACAGTCTATTTATGAGAGTTTTCTGGTCTCCTTCACTTTGACTGAGACCACAAATGCAGTAACCTGAGACTGCTTCAACCCCATCCATTCCAGGTACTCAACACCGGAGTTTCAATACTCATGTCTTTGACTGACCAATAACAGATCATATACCTCCCTGTTTCTTGCTAGGATATTGCTGACACTACATCTCCTTGACTGGGCGGTCCCTAGAGAATCCGATATCCTTCTTGGTTTATAAGCAAATCAATTAATGTAGCTTAGTTTTGGATCTTTTGATGTAGAGGATCCTGGTTCCTGGAGATGTCTCAAATTGCACTGCCTCAAACTGGCAGTAAATCATGTAATGGCCCATTAGAAATACAGTATAGAATGAGGCCAGGGTTGACAAAAGATACCATGTGCACTGTAACCAAAGAAATTTTGTGAACCTGTAATTTAGTGCTGGCGTGAGAACTTTGCGGCCTGATGGTCTAGTAGTATGATTCGCCCTTAGGGAGGTATTGAACCTGTGATCTAAATGGGCGAGGTCCCGGGTTCAATTCCCGGTTAGGCCCTTTCTTTTTCAACAAGATATCAAACCATTATTGTTGAAGGATATTTGAGAAAGCAGTAACCTGTTGCGCCCTCCTGGTAGTGTTGCTGCCAAGTTTGAAGTTATTGAAGGAGATTTCAATCTCCCTCAACAAACAGTCAACTTCGACTAACTTTGACCAATCGAAGCAAAGCGAACAAGGTGTTGAGGTCACTACCATAGGAAGGCAGTTCCCATCATACATCTGATGGATCACCCTTAATTATTTGATATTAGATAACTTTCTAGAACATTTGGACCCTTCCCTGCCAGCTCAGCTTCATAGCTTTCAGCTCTGACAGGTCTGGTTCCCACCATGGTCAGAGTGTGGTGGAGGACCTCCTCACTTCACTTCGATTTGCTTCAAGGAGTCCAAGTTTGTCCAAGTTGACACTTCAATCTCCTTTGCAGCAACACTACCTCCTGGGCACGATGATGCTCACACCTTTGCACCTCCTTGGGTGTCTGAGGCATGGTCACTGGTTTGATTCTCGCTTGGGCTCCTCTTTTTGCATTTCCCTTAACCACTTTCTCTTTGCACGAATTTGAGAAAGGGACTGAAGAGGTGGCAGAAGTTGAAGGGGATACAACAGGCTAATCTTGAAACAAGTGCAGCATGCCTTATTCTTACCCTTATGCCTGCAACAATGCCTCTCAACTTGGCTTGGAAGAATAGTTGTCAGAAGGGGAAGAATGAGACAAAGCAAGTGAACCCATCTAGAATCTGATGGCCTCAAAGACTGTTTGGTGCATGACAGGATTATGCAGCAAAAAAATGGTGGAAGCAGAGGGGAAATGAGCCCGTGAAGCCTAGAGGGAGAAGTGGCATGATGCAGCTAAACAAAGGGCAGCAATTGCCAAGTTCCTTGTGCCTCTGCACTTCACATAACCTAATATGACCTAGGTTTACCTTGCCCTTGACCATTCTGCCCTTTGGAATTTGCTCTATTCCTCCCTTCTATGCTTGTACATTGGATAATGTCCTCAGGTTCTTATTTATACTCTGTTTGTAGCATTGTGTGTGTGTTGCACTAGGTCATGCATTTCCTCTTCACCTCTATTGTGTTTGCTATATTTGATTTGGTATATAGGATTATTCTGATGATTTGTTATACTTGTCCTACAATGTATATGTAATTGTTGTTGTTTGTGGCAAGTTTGTACATGTTATGTCTTTGTTTGTCCTAGCTCTTATATAAACTGAATGTACTTGTAGGTAGAATTATTATCGACTCTTTGACTCCCCCTTGCACCTGCGTGTTACAGTGTGCCACCCACAGTCATCAGATTGCTGTGTTTAACAGCTTATGGGCCCAGACCATACCTAATCTAAACCAGACAGTCGATTCATTTTTTCTTTACTCCTATCATCCTCAACGATCACTCTTGGGGGCACTTTGATTGCCAGAGCGCAGCGTGAACCCAGCACGCCCAGTCGCCACTCTAAACCATCAGGTTAAGAGGCAAAACCCGATCCTATATTACACCCTCCTCCTACCTCTAACTGCAAATCATGTGTTGCGCCTGCTGTCACGATTCGTGGACTTCGAACCGAGCAAGGCGTACGTTGGTGCTGTGGACTGTGGTAACAAGAGCGAGATCCCTAGGCGATCGTAATCACACTAGGACGATGGTTGAGAGGACTGTTGTATTGGAGTAGACAAGAGGCGGAATGAGGAACAAACCTCCTCATTCCATCATGGTTAAATACTAAGGAGTGGCTGTACTTAGAATGCCCTAGAATAGTAAAGAACGTTATAGAACAAGATGGAAACGCTTACGCGTTGAATGAGTAATGGTCGTGCGGTTACAATGAGGATGATGAGTAAGGAGTGTGAGGCAAAGGTGAGGTGACGAAAGACCGGGAACTGGGCTTAGGGGTGTCACGTGATGGGATCGTTGATGCTTGTGATGGCTTGTGGTGATGAGGTCATCACACCTGCATCACAGGGCCTGGTTGAAAGGTCGGCTAGTGTTGTGCCAGGGCTGGCCTCAGGCTCTGGCCAGCTCGGGCCAGCCCAGGTAGTGGGCCGAGGCCTGAGCCCAGAGTCTCAGCTTTCCCAAGCCCGCTCGCTGGGCTCAAGCCTATCAACGCCTCAGGAACGTTCCCTTTTAGGGTTAGTCCCATTACGGAGATAGACGGCAAGGGCTTGCTGAGCTGAGTTGGGGACCGCTTATTTCCCCTTTTGGTAATGATGCCGGGCTCGAGCTGAGCTTCATCGGCGAGGCTCAAGCTAGAGCCCACAGAAAGGTCAGGCTCAAGCTCGCCCAAGCCCGGCCCGGCTCGCTTTGCCCAACACTAAGGTTGGCTAAGGAAAAGCAGACCTGGTACCCACGCTACAGCTAGAGGTCCCCATTACCATCACTGCTACAAGACAGAGCATCGTTGGAGACCCCTTGTCACGTAGCTTTAGCCACATCTGCTACTCTCCCAAACTATGGTGCCTGGCTACCTTGCGCACACTGCCATTCGAGCTACGCACATCAAACCGCCACATCACACCAGTCAAAAACCAAACCTCAGCGATATCGGACCAATAACCCCGATCCCTTGCCTATAAATCTTGAACCAAAATCCTCGTTCAACATTTCAAACACACTTGCTCTTATCTCTCTCTCCAGTCACAACCTCTTATCTCTGCTACCCACTTGACTGCAATGGCCAAAGACTTCACTACACTCACCTCCTCTGAAATGTACCCCATCTTCATCCAAGAAACAAAGGCAGCACTACTGGTCGCTCGAGTCTGGAAGCATGCAAATATCGATGTAAAAGCGCCAAAGCAAACATCCCCCCCCCCCGACAGACGTAGAACAAAGGGAACTAAGGATATATCATGAAAATGAAGAACAAGCCCTCAGCATCATCCTCGAACACCTTGACACTGCCAATGCCTGCTTAGTGGATGGGAAGAGAGCGCACGAAGCATGGACAATCCTCAGCACCACCCATGTCACCGAGACAGCCAATCGCCAGTACCAGCTGTACCAGGAACTAGCCAAAACCAGGCAACAACCTAATGAGGCGCTACCAGCCTACTTGCAACAAATACAACAAGCCGCCGATCGCCTCAGTGCCTCACTCGCCTCAGGCACGACTGCTGACAACATCATCAGCATGCTCACAACGTTCCTCACCATCTCCAACCTCGAGCCCACCAAAGAAAACGAATCCTTCAAGCTCAATCATCTATGGTTCACTGGGAAAGTCGACAGCGCAACCATAGCTGAGTCGTTCAGAACCGAACAAATGCGCAGGTGTCACGATCCTGATGAGATGTGATGTTATCAAGGATGCCGACGGATCGGAAAAAGGGGATAAGTTAAGTTATATCCGGGTTTCGCCCACCATACTACACGAGGCATTGAAGTGATGGACGCGTCAGCGCATTCGTCAGCGTATCAGTCAGCGCCGTGTGGTATTCGCATGTTCCTCAGTAAGTTATGGTCATGGGTTGTAGAACGTTCCGTTGTATTCCGCCACCTTC